CGCTTCAGTGCACGGCAGCCGTGCAGCCGCGGCCAGTGCACGGCGGACCGCGCGCGCGCGCGCCAAGAGCGCGACGGTCGCGTGATGAGCCCCCCGGGCGGGTGCGCCGCGCCGGCATGCCGGCCTCGGGCATTGGCGGTGCGGCTCGGCCTCTCGCCCTGGGAAGCGTCCAGTTCGGTAGCAAGTCACGGAAGCCCTGTGTACCCTCGTACTTCCGTCTTTCGCGTCGATCAGCGTTGATAAACCTCCAGGAGTCGATGACATGCCGCCGATTTGGCGTCGGTTAGCGTCGATTTGCGCTGATTCAGCGTCGATTAGCGTCGATTTAGCGTCGACTAAGCGTCGGCGACAAGGCGGTATGGGAGGCTACCCTGAGTTGCAACCGGAGCGTCAAGAGGGGTCCACGAGGGGGGGTCACCGGGGCCTCTCTGGAGCCGAGGCTCCAGGGGCCGAAGCTTCAGGAGTCCGTTGGACGCCCGGGGGCGCTTCGGGAGGCTCTGGGGCTGGGCTCCTGGAGGCTCGCCTCCCGGAGGAGGTGGCGCCTCCTCGAGGCGGTGGCGGCCCCTCCTGGCGTCTGGGGCGCGAAAGAGAGCGGTGAGGACCAGGGCAGGAGGAATACTCGCGGCTAGTCAACGAATCGTCAGGGGACGATTTTTCGACTATAGGGGGGCTGTTTTTGACTTTTTTATCGTTTCTATTTTTTGGTTGGTTCGTCCCAAATCCGCCTGCAGGAGGACATGCCCGACCCAAGGCTAGGGGTGTGGGTCTCATGGCGGGGGCCAGGATATCTCCCCAGATCTCGTGGCGCCACATCTTGTTTCAATACCTCCCCGCCCCCCCCTCCCCCTTGGGCCGTGCACGTGCCGCCGGCCGTGATTAGCGCCCCCTCCTCTTGGACGCCCCCCTTCGTTGGCCGCCCCCGATGGCGGTGAGATCCCGTGGGCATGTGCTCACCCCTAGGGGGCCAGTGCAGTGGCTGCTGGGCGCCAAGCGCCCAGAGACTCGTGCCTCCTCGCCGAAGGCCGGAGCGCGGCGTGCAGCGGAGAAAAGCTCAAGCAGTGGCGAGGGGTCCTGGCTCGCCTACACAGGCCCACCAGAGTTTTTTCCAGTAACCTCTTGTGGTCTGCACGAGATGTTCTCAGAGCATTTCTGGCTGGGGCCGTCTTGTTTTGAAGCACACCGGCTTTGTGTCCTCAGAACACTGTTCTCGTTCCTGGAACATTTTTGGGTTCTAAGAGCATGTCGCGGTAGGCTCAAACAGCGGCATTCTGCGGCAGCATCGGCGGCAGCGGCGGCAGCAGCACTGCCACGACCCAGAGCCCCCCAGTCCGCGGCGGGTCTCAGGTCCACGGACGGCAGCCGTGCGCCACCATCCCTGGCCAGGGCCATCCTGGGCCCCAGGACGATGTGTGGGTCCGACCCGCCGGAGCGAGGCCAGGAAGCTGTGTACACCATTCCATGGGAAAGGGGGTCGTCCTCCTCCTCTTCGTTCTCCTCCTCCTCCTCCTCCTTCTCCTCCTCCTCCTCCTCCTCGGGTCGCAGGGGCCCAGGGCGGCCCAGGGATGGTGTTGGTGCATGGCTGCCGCCTCCAAGCTCGCCGCCCGTCAGAGTGAGTGCTGCTGCGACTCCTCGACGGGCGTTGCGGCAAGTCGGAGCAACGGGCCTCAGTGGCCTTGTCCTGATGTCCCAGCGCCTGTGTGCTGGTACACTGTGCACCCGGATTCGATGCGGCCCAGAGGACAGACAATGAGTCATACACTCGAGGGCCATGTTCCAAGTAGTCAGAAGAACTGCTGCAGTGTCTGGAGCCACTCTCAAATGAGCGGCCTGCCCTCTTACAAGGGACACCGATCCGAAAAGCGTGTCACGACAGTTTGCAGCTGCACTGCTACACTGTGTATATATATATATATATGTATGTATATATATATATATGAATCTATATACATATATATAGGTATACCTGTATAGCTGTATCTGCATGTCTGTCTGTATATATGCATGTATGTATGTATGTATGTACTGTATTGTATTGTAATGTACTGTAATGTAATGTAATGTACTGTACTGTGATGTTATGTATGTCTGTCTGTCTGTTTGTCTGTCTGTCTGTCTGTATGTATGCATGTATGTATATATATATATATATATATATGTATGTATACATGTATGTGTGTATATATGCATGCATACACGTAGGTAGGGAGGCAGGTATGCATGTATGTATGTATGCATGTATGTATGTATGTACGTACGTACGTATGTATGAATGTATGCATATATGTTTGCGTATGTATGTATGTATGCATGCATGCATACATGCATACATGCATGCATGTATGTACGTACGTATGCATGAATGTATGCATGTATGTTTGCGTATGTATGCATGCACGCATGCATGCACGCATGCATGCATACATGCATGCATGCATGTATGTATGTATGTATGCATGCATGTATGCATGTATGTATGTATGTATGGATGTATGTATGTATGTATGTATGTGTGTGTATGTATGCGTGTCTGTAGGTGTGTGTGTATATATGTATGCATATATGCATTCATGTATCTATGCAAGCATGCATGCATGCAGGTATGCATGCCTTTATGCATATATACATATATATATATATATGTAGGTTTGTATGTGCGTGTGTATGTATGCATGCATGTATGTATGCATGTGTACATGTATGTATGCATGCATGTATGCATGGTATGTATGTATGCATGCATGTATGCATGTATACGTAGTATATATATATATATATATATATATGTATATGTATGCATGTAGGGAGGTAGGAGGAGGAGGCGGAGGAGGAGGAGGCGGAGGAGGAGGAGGAGGATACACTCTTCAAGGAAGTTTGACATGGGGCTTCCTGTCCTCGAGGCCCGCCCAGCGATGAAAACCAGCAGGGCCACAAACACTCCAACTGGCATCACATTCGGCCAGATGATCAGCACGTTCGTTCGAATATTGCCCAGTGTGGCGTCTCACTTTCCTGAACCACCATGACTAGCAACCTGATACAATATGTGACGAAGACGAAAAACAAGTCGAGGGTTCGTCCGTCCCCGGGCGTGCCGCTGAGCCATGCCAGCCGCGTACTCCGAGTCATATTCGATGAGCCCGAGATTCTTGGCGATAGCTGCTGCCTTCCCCCTCTCTCCCCTGGGCGGAGGCGTTTCCGCCCGAGAGCCGCCTCAGATGCTTTCTCAACTCGTGTCCGACGTCAGACGCTACTGTGCGGATGCATCCAGGAAGCGCGCTGCTCGGGGAGCACCGTGACAGAGCGGAGCCCCTCCGCCCGGGGGCGCATCCTGCAGCTTCCGGACGACCGCTGTCGCCGATGTTACTCCGAACGGAATGTTCGCGCACCGCCTAAGGCACGTACATGTCTCCCGCCAGCTTCGAACCGCAGTCGCGCCAGGGCTTCGGGTGAGGCTCGAGCACCTGGGGGCAGGCGACAGAGTGAGGGGTGCCATCGACAATCTACGCAGGCGGAGGGCGCGAGTAGATGCGCGCAGAGAGTCTAGCCCCGGGTTCCGTTATCATTTGCCCCCCCCACCATTCCGCTCTGCTCCGTTCCCTTCCTTCTCTCCTCCTCCCCCCCTCCTTCTCTCCGCAGCGCTCCACCAGTTGCCCTCGCCCCTCCTCTCCGCAGCGCTCAGCTCCGTTCCCTTCCTTTTCCCCATCCTCCCCTCCTCCTCCGCAGCGCTGCATCAGTTGCTCTCGCCCCTCCTCTCCGCGCCTCTCCTCGTCCCGCTCCCCCCCACCCCTCTCTTTCCCGCCCTTCCGCCTTACTGCTCCCCCTCCTCCTGACGTTGCGCGCGGACTTGATGCAACAGCATGGAGCGTTTGGGCGGAAAGGTGGAGGTGATGGAGTGGGGGAGGGGCAGGGGGAGGGGGAAGTGGGAGAGGACGGGGAGGTGGGAGAGGAGGGGGAGGTGGGAGAGGAGTGGGTGGGGGGGAGGTGGGAGAGGAGGGGGGGAGGTGGGAGAGGAGGGGGAGCTTGTTTTCTTTGTTGCTGCTCCCCCTCCCTTTCCACCTCGCTCCCCCCCCCCCCCCCCCCCCTTCTCCCCTGGCCTTCTCCTGCTCCCCCCCCCGCCCTCCAAACTGCCTCCCCCCTGGCCTTCCCACTCGCCCTGTGGGCCTCCCTCCCGCTCCTCGCCCCTCGCTCCTCGCTCCCCTGCTACGTCCCTTCCTCGCCCCGCGCTCCTCGCTCCTCGCTCCTCGCTCCTTGTTCCCCTCGCTCCTCGCTCCGCGCTCCTCGTTCCCCTCGCCGCCTCCCTTCCTTCATCCGAGGGCCGAGGCCCCGCCGCGCCGCCCTGCGCAGGGCCCGATCCCGAGATCCGTTGGCTGCGCGCTCCCCCCCCCCATCGCGCACCCTCTTGGGATCACTGCCCTGCTCCACGTCCGACTGTGCGGATAGATCGGAGCTCTGCGCCACGGTAAGGGACGGGAGATCTACGCCGTGGGCTGCGCGCTCTTTCCCCCTCCCTCTCCTTTTCTTCGTCCCAGGAGGTTCGCCAAGGCTTCTGGAGGCGTCCAGTGGTTCGAATACCGGGAAGCGCTCGAGTACATGCACCCTCTCTCCTCTCTCCTCTCTCCTCTCTCCTCTCTCCTCTCTTCTCCTCTCCTCCTCCTCCGCCTCCTCCTCCTCCTCCTCCTCCTCCTCCGCCTCCGCCTCCTCCTTCCCTCCTCCTCCTCCGCCTCCTCCGCCTCCTCCTCCTCCTCCTACCTCCCTGGAACCTGGCCCACCAGCCCTCGGATGCCCCGCGGCGGCCCAAGATAGGCGCGGTACCTGCCGACCCCGATCACCAACGGCCTCAGCGTGACGAAGGACGCTCCCCGCCCCGCTCTCCGGCCGCTCCTGGCTCCCCCTCCTGCCCCGTCGGGCGTATTGCAACGGGGGGGAGCGATAAGCGATGTTGGGGGAGGGGCAGCACACGCGCTCTGGCGACCATGTTTTTATGCTCGGCCAAGGCTCTG